TTTCCTGACATGTTAGACAATAAAACATTTAATAACTTAACGTTAATAAGATACGAATATTATTTTCACTAACACAGACTAACTTTAATCTCGGTTAATCTCTAAGAATTAAAAAAAAAGTTAATCGACACTCCGCTCGTCTTTTAAACGCGATTCCCTTCTCCACGTTCGTCCGGACGCGAGCGAACCATTCTCGCTGATACGCCCGCAGTTAACAGCTAATTATTATACGCAAAAGGAATATTGCAGCTCGGCTCTTTAATCGTTTCTCTTTATTCACATCGTTATGTTAACAGTAGACTAGATTGATGACCACTCACAAGTGGTTTACATCGCAATGCGATCGCGGCAATTCGTTTCTGTTACAAAGTGATTACGACACGAATCTCCCTTCTACTACGTCGCTCGGTATGCATGCACATCTAGTTAAGGCACAATAAATCAAAATTGCGCTCAGAAGAAAGATTCTGAGGGCAACGCCGTCCCCGTAGAGAGATCCAAATTAATGAACAATTTACGTTATAGCCGTGCTACGGCTCGGGATTCAACATTCGAACGCTTAATTTGCGGACACCTCGCCGTCTTTCAATACTTTCGAGAGCCATGGTACACGAGAACACAATTGGCTGACCGATAATCAATTTCCATGATACCAGTTCGTCATTTCGATCAATCAGATTTCGTAAAAGAAACGTGCTATCGAAAGGGTAAAAATATACACGTGTACGTTATCTACATTTTTGCAATGCAACTGATTCCCCGAAAATGCAATATTCCACTTTTCCCTATGTATATATATATATCTCGCGCTTTCAAGACATCTAGAAATTACAAGTGCGTAGACACAAGTTCGTAGAATCTATAATTGTTAACTTGACGCAATAAATATTAATCCTCAAGTGACAGCGCTAACATTTGGTTTCCTTCGTAAAATACAACAGTCCGAGGTGGATCTCGCGCGTTTTGGAGATGCTCAATTTTTTTAATCACTGTTAAGCCGCCCACTCTTGCACTCTGGTATGTCAAAGTTAAGTTAAATAAAACACCGCAAAAGAGGAAAGTAACTGTGTGGGCTGTTGTATCGTACGAAGCCACCGCAAGAAAATATTTAATTTACGTTAAACTTCTAAATCTTTATATTACAGCTCGAAGACTAAAATAGAAAGTTTAAATTGCTCTAAATCAAACGCAAACGTAAGATAAGTGCATCGACAAATGCATCGCAGCGCATTTTTCTTAATAAAAAAAAACATCTTACAAAAAATCTACTATCTACAAATGGAATAATAGTTTAATAAACATTTGGTTTCAGCATTGTATGATTTGTGTAATACTTTCGTTCACTATGCTGATATACACAGTGGGTCCCGAAATATAAGCAGTAAGGAGGTGATTTTACATCTTGGAAAATAAACCGGGACAATAAAGACAAATTGTACAGAATTGCAGCAAAAACTTCAAATTTCAGCCAAGTGTCTCGATTAAAAGAAAGCAATGTTAGAGAAAACAATTAATTTTATCACTTCGACTTATTTTGAACCACAGAATCACCTCCTTTCCGGCTACACCACGCATTTAGGCCCACCCTGTATAGTATTCCATAATAGGATATTCACAACTTAGTCAAGTATCGACGGCAACTCAATTGTCAATCAAGTTTCAAATAATTATTGGATTTGCTCTGTCTGAAGTTTACAGTTCCAAGTGTAGTACAATTTCAAGGATAAGTCAATTATGAAAATCCTATTGTGTATGCCGTACGTGTAGCAATACTGAAACTGTTAAAACCTTTAAAATATAATTATCCTTTAAAATTAAGCAGAAGTTTTGTCCTTTACCGCAGTTCACGACTGAAAAACGAAAACCAACGTTGTTGGAAAAATTCACTCGTTCTACGATAAACGATAGGCTCTTATACTGATGAAATTATATCCATCTCGAGTAAACGAGTCGTCCCTAATGATGATATTCCGTAGTCGGAGTCACACTGATCATGTCGGCGGTGCTAAAAAGAAAGACATGAACATATGTGATAATTGCGAAAGAAAATTTACGCCCAACGTATCGGTTTGCTAATAAAATAAAACCCAACAGTAATATAAAAGCGCAGGAAAAACCAAAATGCTTCGAAATGTAATGATACGCGTAAAGTAGTAATATACGCACTACCGGCTTTTAAATGTACTTTTCTCAGGGCATGCGACATGCTTCTTTATACTATGAAATTTGAATCGAATTGTTTCTTATCGAACAGGAATTTCTATAATAATCTGGTCGATTTTTCGAGGACATCGAAAAGTGCAACTACTTTCAAATATGATCTCAAATATGTGCATAAATCAAATTATATGTACAGAACGTAAAAACACAGAACAAGCACGTACAGAATGAAATTACTTGGACAAACAGTTCGCTGTAACTTCTCATCTTTGTACACAAACATGTATCGTTATTTTTAAACAATTATGTTATAATTATGTGAAATTGTTTTGTCTTCCTATTGCTTATTATTTATATTGCATAATTATATAAACAATAAGCTCAATAGTGTTGCATTAAAATGTTCTGTCATTTAATATAAAAAAAAAACTGCACACAGTAACGTTTGAAGAACAAATACCCCACACACAAATTCTTCTGAGAAAGATAGCAGAAAAATGCACACACATTCTGGCAAAGCATAAAATACGTTAAATATGACTAGTCGAGCTAATCGTTGGTTCCTTCGGCGTAAAAAGTTTCATGTATTTCTAGGCATTCCGTGTTGAAGTGACATTACGAGCGACAAAAGTATTGCCCGATTGGTCATATTTTATAAAGATCTTTACATGTCAATTATAAAGGATAGACATAACACAATACCACAAACACTTACAAGAACATACACGGGTGCCTTAAGAATACTTTCTTGTAGTCGTCTTTACATTAGTTTGCTGTATAACATATATCAGATATTATATTATCAACTCATGTCACGAAACAAAAAAATATATATATTAAACATGTATCTCTGTGTCGACCCAGCTCGAGAGATTACAAATCACAAGTGATTATACCGTCTGCGATTGACACATGTTAGATCGTGCACGTTTAACATCGCACAAAATTCAAGTACAGTTGTGAACATTAAAGATATTAATCTTGACTTTACATGACTAGCTCAGTAATTCGTGTAGACGTTCCTTCACCACATAGATGACGTTAAGTAGGACGTTTTATATGTTTACTGTTCATTGAAATGGACAATTGAGAGGGACATATAAAATGAGGGAATATATTGATTACCTTTTGGAACATTTAATATGTATAATGAGTAGTGCTACGCCCAGCAGCAAGCACAAACTCCCCACAACAATGTAAGCGATACCGAGGAAGGGATTCTTTCCTCCCAAAAGCGAGGTTGTACTTAAAATCATCTTTTTCTTTCCGTAGAAGGAGGATACTGAAAATGCTGAAAAGAAAAGCATTCGATTACCTAATCTCCCTCATTGTATGTTCACTTAAATAAAATGCATGCGACATAGAGCTTGAATTTTCCATTTTACAATCTCCAATCGGTAATTTGCAGTTTTATTATTTGAATTATTTGCGTGTTCGTGCAAGTCACCACTCAACTTGCTTAGATTACTTACAATAGTCGACGTTAAGAGTATAGTTTCCCGCAACCAGGCCATTCTTAAAGCCATCCTGGGAGTGATCGATCCTGCGGTAGAGTTTCCTGAAAGTGGGCAACGCAGCGGTTCTCATCCACACGATTAAATCCTCGTTTTGGAATCCATTGTTATCAGGATCCAAGGGATCCAAATCGTAGATGTGTTTAGTCCAGTTCTTAGGCTTGGCGAAGTTCTTGAACGCGTCCGTCAGGTTTCCCTCTGGATTCTTGAATTTGATATTCTTATCGGACGGCCAGGCTATGCCGGTTTTTAGCAACGGTACAAACATGGTGTGCTTGACGGAGTATAGCGTCAGATTGTCGCTGAAGAGCGAATTCGCGATGGCGCCGCACGGAGCGATGGGAGTCTTGTTGTTGGGAGTCACTTCGTCATAGGCAAACGGCTCGCAGTCACTCGAGACCATCTGGCTCAGCTGTCCCAGCAGTTGATTGTCGTCCCGAGATTTTACGTATCTACGATGATTCTGATAGAAGTTCGTCAGGCCGTAATACATGTAAACCTTGCCGGCAAACTCCGTGGTCAGCTCGAAATTTATCCTGCACTTGCAGGTTTGCGTCGCATCCGCCGCGATTACGTCCGCGCACTTCTTATACAGGCCGTTGTCTCCGATGTGCTCGATGGAGCTGCAGTAGGTGTAGTCTATAATATGTTCCTTGACTTCGTCAGAAAAATAAAGCAGTCCGATGCCGACCGGTATGAATGCGACTCCTATCACGAAGAACGTCGGCAGGACTGTGCCAGCTGTGAGTATCGGTTGCCAGGCCGGTAGCCGCTGCTGCTTGAACGCGCTATCTGCATGCATGCCAAAGATTGCATCTATCAGGAATACATCTCCAAAAGCATGCTTATAGTATCGACAACGTACGCGATGTTATCAATTTCCCCGACTCTGTTTTCTCGGATGTTACAGGCCGTAGTAATTTCTTGGCAATAAGAGAAACGAGATTGTTGAGATAATGAGGCAACGAGCTCGAGGGCCAGTTTCACAAACATCGGTTACTTGTTAACTAGGGTTCAGTCGACTCCCTGTCTCTTTCCATCTTGTCATCTAAGAAGGGACAGAGAATCAATGGACTGTCGGTTAGCAGTTAACGGACCTTTGTGAAACTGTGGGTGCGTCTGGGAGCTCACGATCAGCGCTACTTAGCGCTGAAAGCGGCGTCCTATCTTTCTTCGACGCATAACAGCGCCAAGTAGCACCGACAGAGCTACCGAACACACCCTAATGTGTCGTCTACAATGCGTGGGGTAAGGAGCAAGGGAGAACCACGACCTTTAGCTTCTGGTGCAAGGAAACTGAAATACAGACATGGTTTTTACAATATTTGTAAAAACGTCGGCCGATGGCGCTCCAATTCACCGAGAGCGAGCGTAAGAGCTCAAGTAGGCGTAAGAAGTGAAACTGGTTTCTTTCCTCACTTTTACTCCTACTCCTTGCTCCAGGTTCACTCCACGCGTTGTAGACGACGCACAAGATGATCCGTAGTCCTGCGTTATCTCCGTTTTATCTTTACCGAGACACCTAATTCTAAGGATAACGAAGGTCAGATGAAAGAGCTAAAATGCGCGTATTGCATAATGAAACATTGGCGCGTCTCGTGAGTAAATTGGGATAATTTTCGTAAACATTATGACTCGATGATATGCGATCCCGCAATCGATTCCCCGTCTCTTTCAACAACTTGGTCGATGTGAAAACAGGTAAAGAGCCAGTCGAACTTGAGCAGAAGCAAATAATTAGGACCTAGAAAAGTTTCGCAATATTATTTAAACAATATCGGGGAAATGTGCGAAACTTGAAATTATCTCGAGGTCATCGGTCAGTCATCGAGCAAAGTGACACCGTCGGGGGTTTATCAGCGAGAAAGCTCGTCGATCGTTAAACTGTTAAATCGAGATCGTTGAGCCACTTGCTCTCGAGCCTTTAACGATCGCTGAAATGCTCACCCGACGGCTTTTTCGATTTGGACACCGCGTCGATCTCGCTGACGGACGTCATGATTTTTTTAGAGACACGACTGACACTTGACAAGCCACGATAACCTAATGACTAGTCAATAGGGTCTCGACTCTTGGCGCATATCAGTGGCGGCGGAAGTGTGATTAGTTCACAACTTCCGGAGACAGGGTGCAGCACTGTCGTTCCCCTATTACTGCTCTCTCCACTGAATGAGTACTGCACCGACTGCACCTAAATTCCTTTTTACGCGGGTTTTTTTGCGCATTTCTTTAGTCCCAGTCTACAATAGATGATTTAAGCCCTAAGCTTTAAGAAATTGGCCAATCACGGTCAAGTGTGAGCAGAATGCGCGACTGTGATTAGTCAATTTCTTAAGGCTTAGGGCTTAAATCTCTATTGTAGACTGGGACTTA